ATAAACAAAGATGCTCGGATCGCAGGCTTTAGGGTAAAACCTGAGCAAGACCCCAGCCAGGATGGTCCAGTGACAAAACCCACGAATGCCTGAGTGTTTCTGCAGGAGGCTGGACAGGACACAGCTCGGAGAAGGAGCACAGCTGGGCTAGGTGTGAGCCACACTCACGGCTCTGGCTCAGGTCCTTGTGCACAACCAGGGGCAAGCCACCAAGTGCTGTGGGTGCACCCTCGAAACTGGTGTAAGCTAGCCCAAAATCCCACCGTCACTGCACAACGGGCAGCTCCTCGGCTGCTCCCCACCACCACTTCCCAGCTGTGTGGACAACAGACAATAAAAGCGATTCCTTCTTGGTCTGACAACAAGCACAGCTGGTGGGAAATGGTGGTTGAAGGGCTGCCCTCCTCACCAGCATAACCCGCTGCAGAGCTCCTCAGCTGGAACCAGGCCTCAGCGGCAGAGCTCCTGGGTGAGTTTTTCACCCAGAAGGTTTTGCATGGCCCCAAGCTTTGCTCTTTGGATTTAGCGGCTCAGAACCCAGAGCTGCTCGCACCTCAGCCCGTTCCCAGTGTTCCCAGTGCTGCCGCTGGCCTGGGGCTGGAGAGCTGGACACAAACACGAGGCACTGTGGAGGGGATGAGCCCTGGTGTTGTGCTCACCCAGACACGAGGAGATTCAATCTTTCTTCCCAGTCCCACACCTCTGGCCAGCGCGGGTTCACTCCCAAACCCTGGGGCAGGGCCGGGCGCTGCTGAGGGCCGCAGGCTCCAGCTCAGCCTGAGGAACGTCCCCGGCTTCGGTGCCATCGTCTGGGAGGAGGGAGAGCTGCCGGGGTGTTCAGGGGCTGTCAGGGAGAGGCAGAGCCAGGAACACCGCTTCCAACAGGCCCCTGCTGTGCTCATCGCCCCCCAGCCTGCCTTTTGGCCTGATTTGCGTGGATTTCAGCCTTTTGGTTGCTGTGCCCATCAGCAGCAAGCAGCACGCTCCTCTTCCAGGCTGCTTCTCTAGAGATGCTCCACGGGAACCCTGTGGGCCAGGGAAGGCCCCGATCCCTCACAGCCTGGGGCAGGACGAGGTCTCAGCCCCTCACTTCGGCTATGGGAGGACAAGAGGACAAGCGCTGCCCAGCTGGCTGTGGGGTGCTGGGGCTGAAGGGACAGGGCCTCAACCAACCATCTCTGAAGGGACAGGGCCTCAACCAACCACCTCTGAAGGGACAGGGCCTCAACCAACCACCTCTGAAGGGACAGGGCCTCAACCAACCACCTCTGAAGGGACAGGGCCTCAACAACCACTCTGAAGGGACAGGGCCTCAAACAACCACCTCTGAAGGGACAGGGCCTCAAACAACCATCTCTGAAGGGACAGGGCCTCAAACAACCATCTCTGAAGGGACAGGGCCTCAAACAACCATCTCTGCTCAGGTTTCCCACTGACTGCATGGGGCAGCCCACACTCAGCACATTACTACCCTCAGCCCGAGCTCCCCCGTTCTCCCCAGTCACCCCCAGTCCGGGTCTCCAGCACCTAACCCCTTCCTTTTCCCTCTGTAGCTCAGGGCTATTTCCTAGAGAGCAGCAGCACCTTGCTGCCAGGCGGGGAGGTGTTACAGAAGGAGCTGGCTGTTTCATGTTGCTTTAGCCAGCTGCAGCAGAGGTGATGGAAACCAATCTCAGAAAGGAACCCAGCAAGACCAACTCCACCTAAGCAATGACAGGCTATTGCCCTGGCTAGTGACAGCGTTTAGGAGATTAAGGAAACAGCAGCAGTAAAACCTAACTGGGATTGAAAGAACTAATGGTGCTCACAGGAACAACACAGATGGCAGGAGATGGCACAAAGGGCAAGCAGACCGCAGACAGGGCAGTGGTGGAGGACAAATTGCGTTCGGGAGGGAGCTGGTGTTTCCCTCAGAACAGGGCTATTGGCATTCAGTGCGACTCCTCTCCTGCACTCCAGCACCTCTCTGACTGCCTCTCTGTCTAGCAGGAGGAACGAGCCCTCTTCACTCTTCCCCCAGGAGACCAGATCAGGTAGGAGTGCTGATTTCAACAGCACTCATGTTTAGGAGTGCCTCGGAGACAGCAGCAACAGCAAACTACAAGAACAGGGCAAGTCGAGGCTGCAGGGTCCTGTGGGAGCTGTTCCTGCTTGCCCAGGGACACCTTAATGGTGTGGTACCCAGCTACAACCCCAAATCTCACCTTGAGATGCCTGAGGAGCGAAGGCTGGGGTGGCTGCAGAGGGCACAGCCAGCACCAGGTCTCACATCACTCAGCAGCCCTGGCGGCGTTCTGCAGTTGGGGCAGCGAAGAGTGGGAGCCAGGAGCAGCAGCAGAAGGGGCAGGACCCCAAGCAGCCCCCTGCAGTTCTCCAGGAAACACGAGGAGAGAGAGGCATGAGCATCTTCACAGCCTCACTGAGCCCATCAGTCAGAACAGCAGTTCCTCGGTAGTTTTGCCTCCAGCCCGTACATTCCCACATACTTGTTGACACCCCAACACACTGCTTCAGCACTCACCGAATTCCCTGCTCCATCCAACAGGTGAGGTTAGCACGCTCTGCAAGATGGGTTCTGCTTCCCTATCAGCCCCTGCAAATTCTGAGCTTTCAACAACTCCCTCAGAAGAGGATTTTTTTTTTCCCTCTTGGAGGGGAGACCCTGTCCCCTCAGTATCTTTTTAGTGAGATTTCTTGGGAGGCACATCTGCCAGGAGTGGTGCTTAGACCTACCAGTCTTCCTCTGGAAGCAAAGAGAGACACTTCCCAGGATATTTGCATCAGAGCAGTGGCAGCAGGGCCAGGGAGGTGCTCGTCCCCCTGCTGAGGCCGCCCCTCAAGTGCTGGGTTCAGCTTTGGGCCCCTCACTCCCAGACATCGAGGCCCTGGAGCCTCTGCCACAGGGAACCAGGGCCAGGAGCAGAGGGAACGGCCTCGAGTTGTGCCAGGGGAGGCTCAGGTTGGAAATGAGGAGACATTTCTGCTCAGCAAGAGCGGTCAGGCCTTGGGACGGGTTGCCCAGGGAGGTGGGGGAGTCCCCGTCCCTGGGGGTGTTCAAGGAGAGGTTGGACGTGGTGCTTGGGGACAGGGCTTGGTGGGAGGGTTGGAGCAGATCAGTCACAGAATCACAGAACGTTAGGGATTGGAAGGGACCTTGAAAGATCCCTTGAAAAGAAAATCATCCTCGTGGCTCTGCGCTGGACTCCCAAGCAGCTCCCTGTCCTTCTTGAACTGAGGGGCCCAGAACGGACGCAATATTCCAGATGTGGTCTCACCACGGCAGAGCAGAGGGGTAGAACCTCTCTCACTCAACCTACTAAGCACAGCCCTGCTGAAACCCCCCAGGATGCCATCAGCCTTCTTGGCCACAAGGGCACAGTGCTGGCTCACGGTCATCCCGCTTGACAATCTTGATGATCCCGCAAGATGATCTTGAAGCCTTTCCCAACCTTAATTATTCTATGATTTTCAGTGGTGCCTTATAAGAGGTTCCTCTTATATTTCATCTGAAAACAGAAGAAATAGGGCAAGTGCTTGAAAAACAAGACACGAGAGTTCAAGCCTTACCTCTGGCACAGTTACAAACCTGCCCTGTGAACTCAGCCTACCTGCCCTGCACATTACTGAGACACAGACGTGTTAGAACAGGTCCAGAGGAGAGCCACAAAGCTGATGAGGTCTGGAGCACCTCTCCTGTAAAGAAAGGCTGAGAGAGCTGGGGTCTTCAGCCTAAAGAGAAGGCTCCGAGGTGACCTCATTGCAGTTTTCAGTACTTAAAGGGGGCTTATAAAAAAGATGGAGAGCATCTAATTAAAACCATTCCCCTAGTCCTGTAAACTAAAACAAGGGGAGATTTAGATTAGAGTTAGGAGGAAATTCTTCACTCAGAGGGTGGTGAGGCACTGGCACAGGTTGCCCAGAGAAGCTGTGGATGCCCCATCCCTGGAGGTGTTCAGGGCCAGGCTGGATGGACCCTGCAACCTGATGTGGTGGGAGGTGTCCCTGCCCATGGCAGGGGGGTTGGAAGTGGATGATCCTTGAGGTCCCTTCCAACCCGAGCCCTTCTTGATTCCATGACTATTTCAGACCCTTACCTGTGTTTACCTTACGGCCAGATCTGCAAAGTGACACAGACACACGGATGCCCTACTCAGTTCAGCAGTGCCCCAGCAAACAGGATTCTGTTCACATGCCTCGAATCACCCAACAGCCTGCAGGCGGTTCTGTTCGAGGAACTGTGGGCAGTAAGTGCAGGGCTCACAAACAAGGCTCAAGTCTCCAGCTGCTACAGTTCACTTTTAATAAAAAAAATATGTTCCCAAGATACCACTGTTCATTCCTCTGACATTCCACATTTTATTGAGTTTGGCTGGATTAAAGGGTTAGTTGTATGGTACATGAATTCAATAAATATTTAAGAACTGGGTGATGAAGCCCCATCGCATTAGAGCAGGGGATTAAGTACACAGAGAAATAAAAACGCATTTCCGAAAGTTTGAACAACTAGCTGGGGTGGACAAATGCAACTCTTCAAAAAAAGATGGTGTGTGCACTCGGACAACACAGAATTCTATGACCAGTAAACCGAATGATAAATTAGAGAGGGTTTTTAACACAGAACAGAGCACACTGCGGCAGTTCTGCCATTTCCTGGTCGGAGACAAAAAGGAGGATTTAACACGAGAGCAATGCCCATCCTGTCAGGCTGGGTGGAGGAAATGAAGTCTCCAGGTGGTAAGGCACCCACCACCATTCTGCACCTTCAAAAATATTTTTGGAAAGGGAAGAGCAAGGCACAAGGAGAGCAAGAAATGGTGGGAGAAGGGCCTGGCAGTTGTGAACACACCATCTGTATAAGCCTAACGCAAATCGCTCCTTTGCCATGGCAGCCTGCAGAGCAGTGTAAACAGCTACAGGGCTATTTTCCTGCTGTCTTATCACAGCAAAGGAGACCATAACAGTCAGGTCCACTTCTTTCTCTGAAGACACAAGTGAGAGACTTTAGTAAAGGAAATCTATTATCTGAAGACAGACCTTTAAGGTAAGTGGCATTAGAACTTTCCCCATCTGTTCAGGAAGCGTCCTGCCTATAGGGTTCAACGTAAGACCATGCAAGAGCACTTAAGTTTCCCGTAAGCCCAGCTACAAAAGCAATATACAAACTTCTTATGCATTCTATCCATGCACCAACCTGTGCACCAACCCCCAATTCAAGGATGGGGAAGCTACAATACACTACAGTGATCCCCCCCCTCCTGCCACAGCTCCAGCAAGCCCCTACATGCTGACGTTACACTAGATGCACCTATCTTAGAAGGAATCACACCAGGAATGGCTTTGCTGGCGCTGCAGGGCTGATCTGTTAGGAGCCACACATCATGCACTCATCCCGGTTCTCCAGGGAGCACACCATGGCTGCTTTGTTCCTTTCCTTCTCTTCCTCTTCCTTGGAGGCCTTCTCCCGCTCCCTGAGCTTCTCTTTGTTCAGCGTGAACTGGATGGGGTTAGCAGCTGGCTTTGTCCTTAGGTAGTACATGCCAGTCTTCAGACCCTGCAGAGCAAGAGCGTGAATGTAAGAGCTGGAATGGGCTGGCACGCAACACAGCCAACCTCTGAGCTGCTGGACCTGACCTTCCTCGGCCACACCGCTGTGCTGGCCTCCCAGCGATGTCTGGTAGACAATTAGTGGGAGCAGTGCCACAGGCATCTGCAGCTTTATTGCCCAGAGAGATATTTCACCAGTAACACCGGATTCTTGGAAGGAGATGGCCGTTTACCCTTCTAGGAATCAGCAAGACTAACTTTTCATGAAAGAACTTATCAAGCCCTATTTGCTATCTGTTCCGAACAATCCTCCTACCCTGCCCCTCTCCGGTACCTGCTTCCACCCATAGAAATGCATGCTGGTCAGCTTGCCGTAGTTGGGTTCTGCAATGTGAATGTTGAGAGACTGGCTCTGATCAATGAAAGCTCCTCTGTCTGCTGCCATCTTGAGGATAGTTTTCTGGGAGATCTCCCACACCGTCTTATAGAGTTGCTTCAGGTCATCAGGAATCTCAGATATATTCTAAAAGAAACGAGAAGAGTTTTCCAATGTAGTGTAACCAGTGACTGCCCAAATGGTCACATTATACAAAACCTTCATAAATTGCTGATTTCACCAGACTAGGACTAAGGCTTCTTGCACCTGAACTCCATCACTGAACCCAAATATCATGCATCTGAAAGCACCCAAGCATAAGGAAACTGTGCTAGCTCTACCAGGATGGTTGATTCTGGGAAATTCAAGGGGAAATAAATGTTTCCAGATAGGACATGAACGTTTTGTCCTAAATAGTCGTGAGGTCTTACAAAAAGCAATCCAGCAGCTGGTACCCTCCACACTTCCTGACAAGTAGTATGTGCTTTTTTTTTAGCATGCATGACTCCAAGCACAACAGTCACAGCAGCATTTCAAACGCCAGAGCATAAATGCTTCGTTCCACACAGGATCTTCCACACACACCTTCCAGATCTGGATGTCATACACTTGGCTCCTGTCTCAAGCCAACTCCCTGCTACATAATTACCCCTTTGCAATCTGTACGACAAATGGGAATCCAAACATTTGCAGAATCTGCATGAAGGAAAGCAGCCCAACTCTGTACTTGTCCTCGTAGTAATTAGTAGCATATTTCCCTTGGAATTCCCTTTTATATGGGCAGGCTCCAGCAGGAACAAATTACCACTGAGATCAGACACATTCCCTCATATTTCTAACAGAAATGCTCCCAACTATAGCTTTTATTCCCCATGTTAGCTGAGTCACTCATATCGAGCAGACCACTGTGTGGAAATCAGCCCTCAGAGAGGCATGAATCCCGGTGCCGTTCTCCTAGCTTCACATACGTACCTGGATAGAGCCATTGTGGGCAATGATTTGGTTTTTCATCTCCTCATTCCACAGGCCTCTCTCTGTGAGATCTTTCAACAAGTGCGGATTCACCACCTGTAAAGAGCAAAGGCCAAAGAACAAAAGCACTGATATATTCTGAGAAGGCACACGCCCTGCCTTGCAGCACAGAAATCCACACCAACATTCATGTTTTTCAATAGATAAAAAGACCTTGTTCCAGACTGACAAACGTTCACTCTTCAGTTAGCACTGAAGTATGCATGCAAACAGCCAGACTCCTGAAGTTAAAATAACAGGTTAACAAACGTGAGAAGCTGCTGGCCACTGCTGACAACAGAAGGCTGTCTGCAATGCTTGGCTGACCCCAGGATGGAGCTAAACCAGTAAGGCAGCAATGGGAGAAGCTTCTGGACATTACAGATGTGAAAGGAGAGTACATGAACTCCCCTGCGTGAGGAATGACAAAGATATGAAAATGAGAGGTCTTGGCTTACCAGGGCTACTGACCACAACCTGAATTACTGAATTACTCAATAAGGGTGTAAAAATCAGCAAGACTGGGGTCAGAAGGGCAAAGAACAAAATATGTGCAGGCTGTTTATTTGGGAGGAAAATAACAAACTTTTGCTTGCTGGAACTGTTTGGGGGTGCCTGTCCAGCAGCCCTGCACCTGACCCACACAGCAGAGCAGGATAATAAACCTGTTGTTCTGACCACACGGGCCTGATTTGATCCTGCTGTCAGGAGGAAATGGAGTGCTTTGATGAGGGGACACCCCAGGGGGACAGACCAGACCGCCCTAACAGTTATGTGTTGCCTCTGTCCCACCTAGAGCTCTTTGTTAACTCCTGCCTCCAGAACTCGTTGTTTCATACTCTTTCATACATGACAGATAGCTCTGCATCTGTACAGCTTTCACATAACCTCTTCACAGATCTGTTCAGTGCTTTACACACAGCTGTTTCCTCAGATCTGCACAAAGCAGCACCGTGGTCTCAGTTACTCTTCCCAGAGCATGCATGTATCTTCATTAATTTCACTAATCATTACCAAATATTCCTGCAGGCAATGTCAAGGTCTTACAGAGTGTTGTGTTTTGTTTATTTTTCCAGAGAAGAGTAGCACTTCTCTAAAATTTTGCATATTCCCTGGCAGTAAAAAACACTGGTTAGATGTTTTCCTTAACAATTCTGGCCTTCAACATAAACATCCAACTGAATTAAGTAATCAAGTGCGCAGCATCCATCTTGTCTTTCCAGACGGTGAAAGTTATCAGAAGTAAGACCACAGAAAAGCTCTCTGCCACACCTGCTTCAAGTGCTTACCTGAAACTCTCCTGAAAGGACTCTGCGCGTGTAGATGTTACTGGTGTAGGGCTCAATGGATTCGTTATTGCCCAAGATCTGAGCAGTAGAAGCAGTTGGCATGGGAGAAATGAGAAGGCTGTTTCTGACACCATACCTAGCAATGATAGTCAAGAGTGAAAAGTTTCAACCAAGTGAGACAAGACAGAAAAAGCCCAAGAATAATAGTTTAGAGACTGTCTGCACAGAGCTAAGAGAGCCAAAGAAGGAACTCTCAGCTCACACATACGGAAATCTGACCTTCCTGAGGTAATCTCTCACTAGCTGCAGTAAAAAACAGAAGTTCCACTCAGCTTGTAATGTGGGTCAATACAGAAGCTTAACTCAAGTCTTAGCTATTTTCATCTTTAACCAGGCTTTTCCAAATTATTTAGTCATGGGAAAGGATGCATAGAAAAAAATCTGTCAGGCACACAACTCTGCAGTGCTCAGGCAAAAACAAAACAAGCAGCCCATAAAAAGCCTCCCCATAGGCAAGACAGCAGACAGATTTACTACATTTGAAAACTAAACCCATGTAAACTGAATAAATTCATTACAGTGACTTCACACTTCAACAGTTGCTGTCTTCAGGACATTCAAGGCTCAGCTGCTTTGCCCTGTCAGCTGAGGAAACAGCTTCCAAGCCTGGCTGACTCTGCCTCACCACTACATTTGTTTAACTGGAACACAAACCATTCGGCTGATGCATCCAAGATGAAACAAGAGCTCAGCTAAAACAGAGTCTATGGGATGGCCTCACTTTGGCATGTAAGAATAAAAAGCAAAAAAAAAAAACCTACAAAAAAGATTTGAAGAAAGATCTACTGAGGGGGAAAAATAAAGAAAACACAGAGCCATTTTTCTATGTGACCTCTTTTGTTTTCAAATCACTCATAACATATTAAATGCAATTTACATTTAATAAAGCTGTGCAAGAATACTCACTTAGCAATCTTCTCCTTTAAAGCCTTCCAGTCCCAAAGATCAGACGGGGTGACATTCCACATGTCATACTGAAGAATCTGAAGAACACAAGAGTGGTACAAATTAGATAGGGTGCTCTTTTCTCCAGATTTTTTTATAAATCACATTACAAATCAACCTGTTATTCTTGTTAACTATCCACTGCAGTTGAGCCTCAGCCAAGCTCCTGTACCATAATCTTACAAACACTCAATGTTTTAATCATGCTAAAGGGGCCAGCCAGTGCAAGCTGAATCTTCCTTTTATTGTTCTCTGCACCTCAGTTTAAATTATATATTTCTTAACGCACTTAAAAAGCCAAACGATGGAAGGAACTCTAGCATCCTTTACATTGATGCAATATTACCAGCATATATTATTATCATAATGTGTTTTAATCATAATTCTCCTGTATCAATGACCAGGCACAACCACTTTACTTGCTTTTCACAGATCTGTCCCTGACATAAGACAGTTCCTGGTACTTACTCCTTTGCTGACAGGAGAACCCTCGTATGTTTCATACGGTCCTTGCTCCTCGGCAAGCTCACAGCTGGCTTCCAAAGCACCGTAATAAATGGTCTCAAAAATCTGCTGGTTCAAGCGCTGGGCCTCCGGACTTTCAAAGGGGTATCTCATCAGAATGAAAGCATCTGCCAAACCCTGCACACCAATGCCAATGGGACGATGGCGTCTGTTGGAGCGTTCAGCCTGCAAAAAGAATAACTGCTTGAGCAGCGCTACACAGAATCATAGAATAAGTTAAACTGGAAAGGACCTCTGGAAGGAAATTAGACCATCTACCTCTGACTTAATTTGTATTCTGCTGCAACATCCCAGCTTCCAGCTCTGCCCAATTTCCCACTGTTAGCTATTTTGTAGGGCACAAATTTAAGGACCAACATTAAGTGTTTCAAGTGATCACTAATTCTAATTGCTCAACTTGACACACAAAGGGAAGCATGATTTAGAAATGAACACTTCTTGAAAAACAAGCCCACAAAGGCTTTTGAACTCGAGCATTCTAATTGTACATGCTTGAAAAAACTAATCCTCATTAGGTTTGGCCTCAAACTTTGAGTATTTGCTTATTTCCTCCTCTGCTGCTTGCCTTGTGGCTTTGTTGCAATGCAAAGAACTTTGCTCCCATTCCCCGTCCACAATTCCCAACGCTCTCTCCACTTTCTTTCCAGAAAAATGCGTGTACACGCTACCAAAAATACTCAAAGCCAACATTTCAAGATTGAGTTACACCTTCTTGGTGTCTTTCCAGGATCATTCCCTCTGCTCTGCTTTCCACTCTGTGTCTAGTGCTGTTCTGTGCTTTATGGAAATCCACTCATATGAAAAGAAATCCAACCTCCAAACCATCTCAAGGGGAGGATTCTTCTACAACTGCTTCGCTAGGGAAGCGCTCCAGGTTGAAACTTAAGAAGCCACTAATAACAGGTCACATCTGCAAACGGTTAGTCAACAGAACTCCCAACAACTAGCCTAAACAGGTTTACAAAACCCCTCACTGATTCCTTCTGCCCAAGACTGAACTGGGATTGCTAGAGAACAACAGGCCCTTTGTCACCAGCCTCGTGGCACACCTTCAGCCGCAGCACAGCACTCACCTCTGGCACAGGGTAGTAGTTGATATCAATGATTTTGTTCAGGTTTCGGACAATAACTTTAGTGACTTCAGCTAGCTTCTTGAAATCATACGTATGCTCTGAAGTGACATACATATTCAGGGCTATAGAGGCCAAGTTACAAACTGCAACCTGGGGAAAAAAGCACAGTAAAAACTGTCATGCCAGCCAACACCTCACACAAAATATACACTCTCAATCCCAGAGCATGCTCTCTATCCAAACTACACAGAACAAAGAACCAAGCAAGCTACAAGGATGGAAAAATACACTCCTCATTTCTATGCTTTTTTACAAGCTGAAAAAAGGATAACAACAATCGAAAAAGATTTAGTAGATATCAATATCACCATAAAAATTCAGTTCTCTGTCCTGGTCAGTCCTGCTGCCTGTAAGCTTCCCTTCCAGAACTCAGGCCTTACCACTTCTTGTGGTATCAAAATCAGCAACTGATCTCCATTAGACCCAGAATATATTACGGCATTATTTTCATTATTTTTAACACTCACATTATTTCCAGACCCAGGAGAACTGAAACAAGTTGGCTAAGGTTTCTTGTGCAGCACAGACAGGCAAGATGGCTCCGTCTCCTCTAGAGTACTCAGGATTTTATGAGTACGTCAAGGAGCGTAAGCTGAAGAACCACTACTGGCTAGCAGAAACTTATTCTTTCAGTTTTAATAGTCTCAAGAGCTTTTTTGCACTCAAAACGTGCCATGCTGTATTAGCACTAACACATTTCTATGTTCTTTCTTCACCTTTGTTATCAATGCTGCAATCCAAACATCTGTAGAGCACCCAGATGAGACAGGGAACTCAAGGGAGAATTATGACTGAACTGCAAGTCTGGAGCTCAGAGAGGTACAGTTTTACTAAACCTTCAGCATAAAAGATGCTTATATCAGCTTCCTAGGAGCCAAAGAGCTCACTTCTCTATCAAGGTGCCAGAGTTTTGCTTTGATGGGTATCTTCTTTTATACCAAATCCTCCACAGGACTTGGAAAGGAAGGGAAACCACCACACACAGACTGTAAGCACTCAAGTCAGAAAATCCTCAATTTTCTTAGCTACCTGTTCCCTTCCCCAGCTAAAAGTGAGACATATTCTAAAAAGCTGTGCAGGCACAGTCACACCTTTCCTAAATGCTGCAAGTTCCTCGTCTCCACTCACCTCATCTTTGCTGGTATACTCCACTATTTCTGTACACAGATTGCTGCATTTGATGGTCCCCAAATTCTGCTGATTGCTCTTCCGGTTGCAAGAGTCCTTGTACAGCATGTAAGGTGTTCCAGTCTCTGTCTGGGATTCGATGATGGCGTACCAGAGCTGCTGGGCCTTCACCACTCTGCGGACACGGCCTTGCTTCTCATAACTGCAACAGGGCACACATTGCTTATCAACCCCCACTCTCCAAAAACTGCAATCAATCATTCTTAACAGCAGGTTCCCAGGAGGGCGAGGCCCCATCCATGTCTGAACTATGTGAATTCATTTTTAAAGGAAACAGAAAGCTTTCACTACAGCACCCTACACAACTAGCTCAAAAGAAAGCCACCAACTGCTTTCTGCAGGAATCATTGCAGAATTTTCCTCTAAAATAACCTTCCATACATAGTTCTAAGCAGTTTGCAGTTCAAAGCAAACAGTAACCAGACATCCCAGTCTTTGTCCATTTATTAACCTGATAATTCAATGCAGTGATCACTTAGAAGCCAACACCACAAACCTGTGTCTTGGCTCCCATATACCACGTGAGGAGAGTTCCGTAAATGGATGACTGCCACTTTTCTTACCTCTCATATAGTTTCTCAAATTCCTCTCCCCACACCTCATCTAAGCCAGGACACTCATTTGGACACATTAAGGACCAGTCCTGTAAGAAGGAAAAAAATACTCACAGAAAATCTGCTATTTAACTTTTAATTAACACATCCAACTTTAGCAGCAGATCCTGTTGTAAACAGAAACACAAAAAAACTCACAGTTCCTATCATTAAAAAGTAGGAACTAACTCTTCCAGCAGACAGGGAAGGTGTTTGAGTAGTATGATTTATTTAAAAATCAATTATATGAATATTTATGATCAAACTGCTTTTTTAATTCTGAAATGAGTAATTATTAAATATAACCCATTTTCAAGCAGTCACACGAAGCTCAATTTTCTGAGAAGATTTTGATGCTTTCAGGGTACTCTAGACTAAAAATTTAGCATACTGGTATATCAGACATGGGCTGCAAGACTAAACCATGAAGCAAAGCATCATAGAAGGCAAGTTCCTCTGCTGCTAGGAAGCCAGCTCCACAGCACTTGCAAACTCCACGCTCCTCCATTAACAGACCTCTCCCACACCAATCAAGCTTCTTACCTGGTTGGTTTCAACTCTCTTCATGAAGAGATCAGGAATCCAGAGGGCAAAGAAAAGGTCTCTGGCACGCTGCTCTTCTTTCCCAGTGTTCTTCTTTAAGTCAAGAAACTCAAAGATGTCCAGGTGCCAAGGCTCCAGGTAGATGGCAAAAGCTCCAGGTCTCTGATACAGAAAATACAGTCAGGATCAGAACAAATGGCCCTTGAAAATATTCCCCACAGTGCTGCTGACTGAACAAAATGCCCTGAACTAACAAGAACTTAGTTTTATAGTCTTGTTAAGGTAATTGCAATATCCTTTTCTACATTACTCTTGCTCTCACTTATTGGAACTAGGTCATGCTACTAGCTCCAGATTCTTAATAAAAATGATCCCACACTAAAAATACCTTCTGTGTCAACAGGAGCTTGGTAAGTCTTAGATTTACGTATTGAGTCATGCCCCCACTGACCTCTGGACTATCTGAATATAAAGAATACAGAACAAAAATCTTTCTACAGTCTTACACCTTAATTCAATACAGGGCATACAAGAGTGACTGATACCCACTGCAAGAGGCTGAACTAACGTGTACACATCAAAGCAGATAGACACCATACAGCAGATGTATACCCACACAATAAAATGCATGGTGAATGGAGAACACCAGACTAGAAACAAGGTAAAAGAATCCTTTTGTAATTACACGCCACCTACCACCACATTGATGTTACTGGTTCAATCTTTCACAGATGTGGTCTCCTTCTGACCTGGGTCAACCCCTTCACCCCAATTTAAGGCTAAGCCAATACCTTGTTACCGCCTTGGTCCACGTAGCGAGCAGTGTTGTTGTAGACCCTCAGCATTGGAACGAGTCCATTAGAATTTCCATTTGTCTGCACAGGCACAGGAAAATTGTTGTTACTGAAAAGCAACTGCCCGAGAGCTGGCCTGCATTTCTGTACGGCTCTGTATGTATTTCGGTGGTCAGACAAACTCATCCTGAAAGCAAGCACCTGACCACCTCAATCAGGGCTTTGGTAGCACCACCATCCTCCCCCACACTCCTCTCTTTTCTTGAAGTAAAAAATGCACCATCTGAACTTAATTCCTCCACATAATGCAATCTAAAGGCTTGCAGAGGTTACATACATGGTGACAAAAAGGAATAAATAAATAAACACATGCGTCCACAGGTTATCTTAAGCGGTTAAACTTACAAAAGGAAGAGGGCCAATGCATTAGCCTGTAGGCATTTTCCTAGGCTGCTGATATAAATAAGTTGGAATTGCCTGAAAAGCACTGGAATGAGATCTGATCCACTTTTTGGAAGGACTTGTATTAGGAAACCAAGGAAAACCAACCTTCTCATTTCAGGGCATACTGAAAGAAAGGACTACAGAGCTGGACTAACTGCTGTGCTACACTGGCAGCAGTGCTGGTAGAAGCCGTGGTGATCTGGCAACTAAGTACAGCCCTCTCCTGAACCCAGAAGGTTCATCTCTGCTGGGTACGCCGCCTGCACACTCACCCCAGCAATGTAGCTGCCCGTGGCTCGGATACAGCTCACAGCAAGGCCAATCCCACCAGCAGACTTTGAGATCAGTGCACACTGCTTGAGAGTGTCATAGATTCCCTCAATGCTGTCATCCTTCATGCACAGCAGGAAGCAACTAGTGAAAACAAATAGCTTTAGCATAAAAAGATTAAAAAATAAAAAATCACTAAGTATTTTACCAGGGCTGCAGAAAAACAATGGCAAAAACTGTATATTTTACATGCTATGCCAAGCGAAAAATGAAGCAAAACCATAGACTGCATAGTGGAATAAAGGATAGTTTTAGAAAACATCACAAACAGTAGTTCTATTACCGACACCTCTGTTATCAAAGCAAAGCATTTTTAAAATCAGATCTGCTTCATAACAGTTACGCTTGCTACTTTTAGCATATTTAAAAAAAAAAAAAAAACAATTACCAGGAGTCATTTTTTAACCAACAAAAGACTATGTATGTAAGCAGCCCTGAAATAGTAGACAGCCACTTCCATTACCTTGAGAAGCTAATGACACATTTTTTTTTCCCCAAAGACTACACTGGAGATCAAGTTAAATTTGACAACAGCTTCTCAAGACTTCATAGAACAATCACAGAAACACAGCTACTAGATTCAGAAGTTGTGATCTGTCATGAAGTCACAATCAGCAGAACCTCATCTTCCTCCCATTCTGCATTGAGCATGCTTGAAAGCCGCAGGTACCTGGACAGCTGAGGCCGGTTGGTGCCCGCGTTGAACAACGTGGGTGAGGCGTGGGTAAACCACCTCTCGACAGAAGATTGTAAGTTTCGATTGCGGCATCAATGTCATTTTTGTGGATTCCCACCGACACCCTCATCAACATATGCTGAGGACGCTCGGCGACTAGACACAAAAAAGCAAAAGGAAGAAAATAATGTCAATGTGACGTTTATTAGTACAGACAGAGAGGTGGTGGTAATAAGATACAATGGGCCACTTAAGAGCCAGAGTTTTCATAGAATCACAGAAGTTCAGGTTGGAAGGAACCTCAGGAAGCCTCTAGTACAATCTTCTGCTCAAAGAGAGTCAGCTAAGAGGATTGGACCAGTTTGCTCAGGACTTTATCCATTGGGTCTTGAAAAACTCTAGACTGGGACTGGATAACCCCTCTCAACAACCTGATCCAACGCTCAGCCAGTACTCAATGGTTTTGCTGGACTGCTCTATGAGGTAGCCTATCTGCCTCCTCAACCCTTGCTCTGAGCCATGGCCTTGACTTTTAAATAATACTTTAAGTTGACAGAGACGGTTCTTACCTTTTGAGTTGATCTTCAGCAAGTAGGAGCGTTCTAAAGTCTTTAAAAAGAGAGAGTGCGTGTTAGCAGTCATTCAAATTTCAATTTAAAAATCCTGTTAATACAGAAAGCTCCAACCTCAACCATCTTCCTGCTCCTTACCCCAGCTTTCAACAGAGGCACCAACCCTACACTCAACTCCTCATCTTGTTAACGACAAAGGATGTTAAGTGACTAATAACCAAAGCCAGAATTCCACTATAAGATTCCAATGCTGAGGATTCTGCTTTGGATTATGGAGTGGATTATGTAGCACGGAGCAGCAAGGTTCAACACCGCCTTTCAATCCACAGTGAACTGAGGCTAGATGGCAAGGGAGGGCTTGTTCTCCACAATGCAACCTCTCAATGCTATTAATTATACTATGATAATGATTTCTAGACAACCTGTATCACAATCTGCTGTGCCGGGTGATGAACACACCAAATGCCACATATGGTAAGCCCCTACAGTTTGAGCAGATGCCTTTTAAGCTTGTGCCTAATGAATTACAGCAGTAATTACATGAGGGAATGTCAGGCATTGATATACAGCAGCACACACACACACACACGCCCCTTCAAGATCCCTCCTCTCCACCCTGCCTATGCTGCTTCAGCAGCTGCTCTGCACTACACACCTGAGTTGTTTGCTCATTGCAGCCTGCTTCCCCCACACCTGACAGTACCAAACCACGTGCTGATGGAAGAATCTCCTGGACGTAATTCTACACAAAGATCACCAGTTCTTCTAGAGATTCATTAAGGCCAACGAACTATCAGGTACCCAGTGCTATGGAGAAGCCAAATACTTTCCAGCTAACCCTACAGAAAGCCCATGGCAGCGTGCCCTAAAACAACTGGGCAACTAGGGGAGCAGGAGGAGCAGATGGTGGGGGCATAGTAGACTGGACGGGTTGTGGGGGAGATGTTCCAGCAGCATGGAAGAAGACAAACACGTGGGCTGACACACTGAGAACTGCTACACAAAACAATGGCGAAAACAAAAATGCCTTTTTTGGGTTATTAAGAATTAGATTATTTCCTTGAGGAACGGCATGAGCTGGGAAGCTTCCAACGACATTCAGCTGCAAATAACTTGGAGCCTAACAGTTAAAATATTATAGCAGCCAAGGGAACAGAGCACAGCCAAGAAAGAAAGTACATGATTCATGAAGTCAGGCAACAGCTTTGTGCAGGTACTTTGTTTCCACCAACCCACTAATGCCCAAGCTACTTCCAGTGCCCTTCGTGTTCAAATCTAATGATTTTGCAAGAATTTCCATCCCTCCCAAGAGACCCAGCTTCAGAACAACTAAGACTGCTGCTTTGGTGTTATCATGAATAATGTCTTTTACCTTAAAACCAAAATAGTTGTAGGAGAAGTCCTCTGTCATAGATAATAGCAGAATTCAGGCGCTGAGGGGAAATAAAGAGAAAAAATTAATTTACACTCGGATTGTGGGGCTTCACATTCAGATATAATGTTGATATTGGTATTTCTGGCCTCAAAAATGTAGTGAAACAGATTATTCAGACAGATCATCGTGAATAAAACAGGGAAGAACACTGAGGCTGAAACAACAAATGCAGTGCTAACAATTTTTTTTCCAAGTACAGTGAACAATTGTTGGCAACATTTTACTGAAGTCGTTAACTAGGCACCAAGAAACACAAGATATAATCAAAATGAGAATGTGACTTCCCCATAAGAACACAAGCCTGGAACAACATGAAATCAGACAACAAAACCTCTTCTCTCCCTTCTGTGCGTACAAAACAGATTGCCACAGTGAAAAGCCCTTTTCCCCAAATTAATTAATTATGCTGTTCGTGACTATGAGGGCATTTAAGAAAATGTCCTTACATGAAGGAAATCCTACACCTTCTTTTATACTCTCCAGAAGAGAGCAGTTATCAGCGGAACCCATTTCTGTATTGGCTTTTTGTCCTAAAACAAATGGCTTACTTAAGAAAAAAAAATCATCTTAACTAGTTCAGTGAATTTTCAAAACCGGAGAAATGTTACATACATCTTTGTTGGCCAGAACTATGTCTAGTGTTCTTTAGAGATCATTGGTGAGTGCTTCCCATTGTGAGGGTTTACGTAGTTGTAGAGGTCATCCATCACATCTACAAGAGAAACAGGTTTAGAAGGAAGTACATCCACAGATATATATATAGATATATATAATTTGTCATTTGTTTTCAAAGATTTAACAGGCAGGACTACCCATCCACAAAAAATAACCCCTTCCAGCTCTACGCAGATACAACTTTTCTTCTGCGTGCTCAATGATATTACTAAGCTGCTAACGCACTTGCCTTACAACGTTTTTTTATAGAATTTGTAATTGCAATAAATGAGAAAGACAGTGGGTACATCCTAATTTCAATCAGTTACATTTTTAATCAATCTATTTATAGGGAAATAAATCATCAATCTATTTAAGTGAAATCTATTTTTCGCAAAAGAGGCAATTTCACTTTCCTAGTGACACATAAAACTCATGGTTTCCATCTCCATGGCATTTTTAGTTAGCCCGGGTACTTAGTACCTTCTGCTTAAGAAAGATTTCCATATTTATATCCTCTAAAACTCCTACTCCCTTTCTGACTAATTGCTATCGAAATGCCCCCAAACAGACTTACCACTGAATACTTTCTTAGTTTCTTTGTGCAGATTGGACACTGCAATCCTTGCTGCCAGGATAGCGTAATCGGGGTGCTTGGTGGTCAGGGTTGCAGCTGTTTCAGCAGCCAGCGTGTCCAGTTCCACTGTCGTGACACCACTGTACAGCCCCTGAATCACTTTCATGGTGATCTGGGCCTAGAAAGGAAAATCGTGCAGATCAGCTACCTGTTGTTAAAAAAAATCCTGGTATCTCAGCCATTTAGGGTATAAGACAAGCTCCACTACAAGCAGTACCTTTTACATTGTTTAATTTTAAAAAGGCAAATTAAACACTACATTCTTTCAGTGAAGTACTGACACCCAAAATTTTAAACCAAGTGATACTGGGGCAGGAGGGAGGTCAGGGAAAGAGCAAAGAAAGAAGAAACCATTAATCTAGAATCATTAAAAAGTTTTTTTCTCTGCAGACACTTTCTTAAAGGCTAAAAAAAAAAGCAGCAGCAAAACTCAGGAAAAAAAAAAAAGTCAGTTTAAAAGGTTACTTGCTTGGAGGTTTTAAAACTACAAATAAAACTTGACTTTAAATGCCTGATGAGACATTTAAGTGCTATATTTTAAAACAACTTTGCAATAAGAGAAAAAAAAAAAATCAACTCTGGAAGGGATACACTGCCTTTTGCTTCATGACTTAACCTAGTCCTCATCTACCAGTCATTTCCTGGGAAAAAGACTTTTGTATCTGCCATCTCAAAAGCAGTTACTGCTTTTCTATCAAGTATTAGCACTGACCACTACAAGAAAGATCATATTCTGCACTGCAGAACAGAGGACAGATCTAAGGATGTGACTGCTACACACATTTGAAACACCAACGGCCTCACAAAACCAGGATGTGTAATTTTCAAACTTTATTCTCTGAAAGGAAGCACTTCACATTAAGGATTTTTATTGCTGGCTTGTAAAGCATCTGGAACAGGAAGATCCACATCCAAAAGGAGAAACGCAGTTCTGGGAAGAAAGATCTTACTACTGCCAAATGAATAAAAATACAGTGCTTCATGTAGAATAAGATTCACTACTAAGACTGGGGTATTTGAAGTCAGGGGGCCTAAGAATCTTGCTTGTGTCCTCATCACCCACAACTTAAGTCGCTGAGATCCAGGCAGCGTACTTTGTGCACTACACTTTTTGGTACAGAATGAATGTCAGATATTTCACAGTTGCAATTTAAGACACAAAAACTGATCGGTGCATCTCAGAGAAGAGCCCAGGTTGGCAACTCCAAATGAACAGGCTAGTTCTGCACATCTACACGAAAATCTCACAGACATCCACGGATCCGTGAGGGAGCCATCCTCTGCACAGGCTGTGAACAGAGATGCTCCCATAGGTGCAATCAACATGCACCCAAAGTCCCATGGAGCTCAAAATAAAAAAAAGGGGGGGGGGAGATATTAGAATGACATGGGAGTTCTGACAGAAAGGGCGCCTTGTTTTAAGAGGATCAAGATCTACTTTCCATTTAGTCTTGCTCAAGCTTTACAGATTGGAATTGTGAGCTACCTACCCTAACACCTGAGTTGGAGCAACAAACAGTTTTTAAGAACTAAAAGCTTCATCCCTTCAGCATTGTTTGAGGCATCTACCCACAGCAGCTTACAGCAGGTAAAGCAGAGACTTTCCCCTACTCCAGTCTCAGATTTTACACCCACAAAGCAACAGACGCAAAACACAAACAGTTAGAAGAAGTGTGTTATGAATCCATTAGCCAATGGCTCCTGCGCAGGCGGCCACATTTGGCTTTTGCCAAGGTGAATAACCAGGCAACATCTGCTCCCAGCTGCAGAGACCACCAGCAGGGGCAGGCCCAGGGACAGACTCACGGGATCCACAAAGTCGGCGTTCAGCCCGTAGCACAGCTTCTGGATGCGCGACGTGATCTTGTCAAACATGACGCGCTCCTGGCGCCCATCTGGTGGGGGAAGAGGTTACAGAGACATCAGACCCCGCTGCCAGGGGGGCACGGGTTAAGCACAGGACCCCCCCCAGGAGGAGCCAACCCCCCTGGGGTGCCCTCCAGGTGGGAACCACTGCGCACAACCCACCCGGGCACCCTGCTAGGGCCCAAAGGGAAGGCTGGCCAGCTCCCCCCCCCCTGCTGCCCACAGCCCGTGGTGGGCGCTGCGCCCCTCGCTGTGAGCAGGGCCAGGAGGGGGGGCGCAGGGGGCTCGCAGCCCCTCAAGGACACCCCAAAGGGCCACGACACCCCCCCCGGCACCATCCTCTGCAGGGACCAGACCCCGATTTCCAGTGCCACCCCACAAAGCCGGGGCACCGAGCTGGGGGTCCCCCAGCCCCAAGCTGAGGCCGAGCCCCCCTCAGATCCCCCCCCGCGCCCCCCGCCCGTGAGGCGCAGGCAGCCCCCAGCCCGGGGGGGACTCCCCAGCACCGCGCCCCGCAGCCCGGGGGGCTCCCCCCGAGCGGGGAAGAAGCCGGGGGCCCCCCGGGAAGGGGCTGAGCCCCCCCCCCCGAGGCGCGGGGCCGCCCCCGGCCCCTCACCGCGCTTGACGACGTGCATGGCGGCTCCAACGGCTGCGGGGCCGCGCTCTGTCTGCGCGCCTCCCGCTTCCCGCCAAGCGCGCTGGCCCCGCCGCGCCGCCGTAGCGCCCCGCCCCCGCCGCCTGAAGCCGCGCGCCGCCATCTTAGATCCGGGCACCGTCGATTTTTGCCTCCTTTTTCCCCCCCTCGCCGCGGGCTCGGGGTTGCCTCCCCCAGCGCCGCTCCCTCCCCGCCTCGCCCCCTCCCCGCGCCCGCCTTCCCAGCCCGGCCCGGGCAGCGCCGCCCGCCCGGCGGGAGCCGCCGGTTTGCCCGCTTCCAACATGGCGGCGGCAGCCCGGGCGGGAAAGGGGCCGCGCGAGGGCGCGAAGTACGGGGCCCGCCAAGGGCCGAAACACCTCCATTCGCGATTCGTGTCACAGCACAGCAGCGATAATGACGCGAAATAGTATTTAGTATTTAATAGTATTTAGTATTGAATAGCATTAGTATTTGATAATATTTAATATTAATAGTATTTAATATTTCGTGCGTCTCTCCAGAGGAGGGGGCCCAGGCAGAGCTCCGCTCCTGGCATGGCGCCCGCCCAGCCCTGCGCTGAGGGGGCTCCCCCCGTCCCCACACACAGCCCCCGGGGCACACCGCACCCCCTCACAGAGTCACGGTCACAGAATGGCCGCGGTTGGCAGGGAGCTCTGGAGATCGCCCAGCCCAGCCCTGCCAGGCAGGGTCACCCACAGCAAATTGCACAGGGTGGCAGCCAAGGGGGGGGGCTGAGTATTGCAGAGCAGGAGCCTCCACAGCCTCCCTGGGCAGCCCGTCCCGGGGCTCCGTCACCCTCAGAGTAAAGAAGTGCTCCTTATGCTGAGCCAGAACCTCCTGTGCTTCAGTTTGTGCCCCTGCCTCTCGTCCGGTCGCTGGGCACAGCTGAAAAGAGACCAGCTCCATCCCCTCGACACCCTCCCCTCAGATATTCATACACATTGATGAGGTCTCCCCTCAATCTTCTCTTTTCCAGGCTAAACAGGCCCAGCTCTTTCAGCCTGTGCTCATACAATAGTAAAGGTGACACAGCCAGGGGCACCAGCAAAGGGCACATCATGGCAGAAAGGCCCTGCAGGTATCTCAAAAAGCCCGTGGCTGTCCTTAAAACACCGGGAGTGACAGCCTCGGTGAGGCAGCACCTTCCCATGCTGTGGTGAGGGACAGCAACCACCATCTGCAGAAATGTTTCCTCACAGAAGGACAGAAAGTGTCCCAGAGTCCATGCAGCAACCAGGGACAGCGGTGCCCCAAAGTGCCCAAAGCGCTGCTGAGGTTTATACACATAACACAACCCCCCAAAGGCAGCATTTCCTCTGCCAACGTTCTCTGGGTGCCTTGTAAGCCAGCAGCTGTCTAACACGGCGTGATAACATCTTGCAGTTAGCATCTATGGCACCTTCCTTCCCCGCACAGAAGCGGTGGGGCCTCCTCCCCATGAGAGGTGCACCCACGCGCAGGGACAGCGCCGAGCAGCGCGGCCTCCACCTGTGCGAGCAGGATGGGGGAGCTGAGGCGAACGCAGCACTGCATGGGGGGGCTTCAGGTGTTGCCTCGTGAGACCGCAAGCACCCAACGTGCAGGGTGGCCTCGGGCTGAGGATCACCCTGGGGGGCTCCAAGGGAGGTCCCAGCAGATTTGGTGGCATGCGACAGCTGGCAGCTCAGTTATTGGGGATGGGATGGGATGGGATGGGATGGGATGGGATGGGATGGGATGGGATGGGATGGGATAGGATAGGATAGGATAGGATAGGATAGGATAGGATAGGATAGGATAGGATAGGATAGGATAGGATAGGATAGGATAGGATAGGATAGGATAGGATGGGATGGGATGGGATGGGATGGGATAGAATAGGATAGCTCACTTGGACCTTCAGAAACCATCTAGTCCAACTGCCTGACCAAGCATATTACTGAGGGCATTGTCCAAATACCTCTTGAGCACTGACTGGCATGGGGCACCAGCCACCTTGCTAGGAAGCCTGTTCCAGTTTTTGACCACCCTCATGGTAAATAAATTTTTCCTAATGTCCAGCCTGAGCCTCCCCTGGCCCCGGTTGATGCCATTCCTTGTTCTGCCATTGGTTATGAGAGAGAAGAGACCAGCACCTCCCTCTGTGCTTCCCCCCTCAGGAAATTGTAGAGTGATGAGGTCGCCTCTCAGCATTCATTTCTCCAAAGAAACGCTAAATACAGCAGAGAATCACCTCTTTTGACGTTTGCCTAGCTGTGTTTAATGCAACCCAAAATGCAGTTTGCCCTCTTGGCTGCCAGGGCACGCTGCTGTTCACGCTGAGCCTGCTGTCAACCAGCACCCGCAGAGCTCCTTCTGCTGAGCTGCTCCCTGCCCACCCACCTCCCAGTCTGTGCCTGTGTCCAGCATTGCTCTGTCCCAGGTGCAGAACCCAGCATTTTCCTTCACTGAACTTCATGCCATTGATGATTGCTCAATGCTGCGATTTATCCAGATCCCTCTGCAAGGCCCCTCGTCCCTCCAGGAAGCCAGCAGCACCTCCCAGTTTAATGTCACCAAACTTGCTGAGGATGCATCCACTCCTGTGATGCATCCACTGAGGTGATGCAGGGAATATTTGGAACTGGTCAGGAAATGGGAATAAATTTGGGGTTGCTTCTCTACTTGATTGGAAAAAGGCCTGCAGAAGGAAAAAAAATGCATCTCGGATCATTTGAAGCCTGTGCTGCGTTCACAGATCTTTGCCTTCAAGTGTTTCTACTTTGAGTTTTACTCACTCTTTTTTGGTAAAACAATAGTAGGTGGGGCAGTTGCTTCACTTCATGAGGATGTGATTGTACATCACGGGTTAAACTGCCGCAGAGAAAAACCAGCCTGCTCCCCGCCAGCATGGCTGTGGCAAGATCAGAACGAGCACAATAAACCCAGTGCCTGAGAGGTGAGTTTGGGAAGGAAATGTGGCAACGAGAAACAAACTTCCTGAGGCTGCACAACACCTTACCTCCACCCAGCTCGGAGACAGCTGTGGCTGCAGCGGTGCCTCTGTGCTAACGGGTTCCTGCTCCAGGCTCCCGCAGCGAGAGCTCCCTGTCTGAGCGGGCTGCCATGGGCTGGCCGAGACACGGGCACCTCGGCCACACGGCTGAATTGAGCCCTTCCCGGCTGGCCAAAAAGCAGGGGAAACCGTGAGAGAGAGGTGGAGGCTGGAGTCACGGACTGAGCTGCACGGAGCTGCCTGAGTCCTGCCAGGGACAAAAAGGCCGTGCTGCTGCCACTCCGGCTCTGAATGCCTCTGGGTTACAGCATAAGCCGTGAGCATCCTACCCATTTCGGGGGTGGTTCCTGTGGGATCTGGTCTGTAAGGAGAGAATACAGATGGCAGAGCCTAATCCCCCACTGCCTGGCTGGTTTGCATCACAATTCTTTGTGCTAACTTTCTGACCCTGAGCACTGCTCCCTCGGTTGTCCTGGGGCAGCTTTTTTGCAAGGCAGTGTCATAAACAAGGCGGCCAAAATAGCCCAGGCTAAAAATAGCTCTTCATTCCCTTCTTTTGGATGGAATTTCAGTTAATTCCTTGACCCAGAGAAATCTGCAAAATGCTGCTCATTAGGAGAGGAGGAGTGGGGGGGCTGCCTTCCTGCAAGCTCCGGGGCTCGCCCTGCCCCGGCACCACCGCAGCGCCCTGGCACGAGAGGGAGGCGGCCGTGGTGAGCGCACAGAATGAGTCCTTCTTCCTTTGGTTTCCTCTCACCATGAGCTTCCTTTTTCTTCTCACTTGGTTCAGTTGCACTCAACCCACAAAGACTTCATACGTTCTTTCAGAGAGCCACCAGCTTGGTGTACAACTGGGCAGCTCGAGACCCGTCTCATCCTGAAGAAAAAGGGGTTTGGGTTGAGAAGAGCTGACCCCGTATTTGAAGTGGGGCAAGTCATTTGGGGAGGGGTTGTTGGGCCACGGCCACCTGAGGTCCACCACAGCAGGTCCCATGGGTCCTCCACAGCAGGTCCCATCGCAGCAGGTCCCATCACAGCAGATCCCATGGGTCCCATCGCAGCAGGTCCCATGGCAGCAGGTCCTGCCGTGTGCCAGGGCGGAGCCGCCCCTGGCTCAGGTGAGCTGTGCCGCCCGGCCCTGCCTCCCGAGCAGGAAATGCGGGCACCGGGCACCTCGACACGCCGGGGCTCGGGCCCCCAGCGCACCACCAGAGCCCACGGTAGGACTGGGGGCCCTGGGGAACGTCCCTGACCTGCCCCTGCTGGGGCCAGGCCCCCGCGAGGTGTGGAGGGAGCAGCGCTGGGGACGATCCCTTGGGGGGCTCCGCAGCACGCTGCCCCTTAGACACCACAGCCCGGAGGCCAAGGGGATGGCAAACCTTTGGGTCCAGCGTGGCTGGGACCCCCGTGCAGCCCCACCATGGTCAGGCTGTGCCGGTGGAAGCTCCGCTGCCCCCCTCCGTCCCCATGGGCAGGCACCTCGCCTTGGCACGCGGCTGGGGTTCCTCAGGGTGCTCACCGTGCCCAGAGCCTGGCATCGCCCTGGGCTCAGGGCAGGTCCCCCACCCTCCTGGGCACGGTGCTGACCCCGAGCAGTGTGGGGCAGTCAGTGTTTGGGGAAATGGGGCTGGGGGGGCCACGCTGCCTTGGCACCATCCTCAAGCCCCCAGCTCACACAGGGCAGTGCTGGGCAGGGCAAGCCCCCGTCCATCCCCGCACCCTCCAGAGGTGCTGCACATTCACCGCCTGCTGCTTTGAAGCAGCAGGGAGGCAGGAGGGTGCCCCTTTTTTTGGAGTGGCAGCCACCTTCCCATCTCCCGGGGCGAGGAGGAGGGAGGACAGCAGTGGGGACCCCCAGGGGGTGTGAGCAGCAGCGGGGCTGCGGGGCCGTGGTTGGAAACACGGGGAATTCTGTGCCGAGCTTCCCGCTGGCCCTGGCGGGGCGATCGGCTCTGATTCCGTGCCAGGCAGGAGGCAGAGCCCGCGCGGTGGCCCTGCCCCAGCGGCACAGCTCAGCCGAGGTTTGCTTCAATCACGCACGGACAGGC